TCAGAAATCTTTGTATGAGTAGGTCGATAACATAATTCATCAATCATCTTATTATAAATTAATCATACAAATCCTTTCTTAACAGATTGGATTAGTTGGTAGGTGGAGAAAAAGGGAGAAATTGGCAAGTGCAGTGAGTCCTAAAAACCCCCGACAGAAATGGACACCAAGTAGGTTTCTCTACCTTTCTTCTGGAATTGTTTTTATAACACTGGTTCACCCGCAGTGATTTCCTTTCCTCTTCCTAATAGCCTTTAAATATTGAAACTGCCAAACACATAGGGAGAAAATGAAGACCAAAGAAGAAATAGACCTTAGAGGCCCAGTTAAACTGATTATCTTCAAATACATCTGTTCCATGTTATCTGCAGGACAATCACAACAAATCCATGCCTATCACTAATTTCTTGAAAAATTAAGGAATGTTTAAATTAGCATAGAATCACCTATTTACTAGATATATCTCATGCTCAAGGAGCTTGGGTTAGGCAACAGGTTTGTAAAACGTGTAGAACACAGCCTATGCTCTGCAGGATCTTCCACAGAAAGGAAATGTTTCATGTTTTCAAGTAATTACAGTACAAAGGAGTATACAGACTTCAGAGTGGCACCAAAAGAGTACTTGAAGAGTTTAAGGAGTGTACAAAACAATTCTGACCCCAACTGGGAGGAAAACTCAAGAAATTAGAAGCTAGGGGTAAGGCCTTCAAAAGACAAAATAAAAGGAAGAGCATTAGCATAGGGTAGCTATAAAAATAAAGTAGATTTAGGGAAGTTCAATTAATCCTATTTGGCTGGATGCTAGAGAAGATAAGGGTAGAACCCTGGGGCATAGAGAAGTCCTTGAATTCCAAACAAATACTTGGAACTAGATTTCACAGGGTGGAATGGCCCCCAGAAGGGTGCAGCACAGAGGGATATGATCAAAGCAGCTTTGACATTAACACAATGAAACAAAACATCCTTTCTTTCTTCAGGTTAAATAAAAGGGAAACAATTTTGGTGAAGCTAGGACTCTGAAGTGTATTGTTTTAATCAATTTTGAAATACATTTATAAGCTTGTTGTGTTATATTGAAGTTATATAATGGCATAAAATCATGACCAATTTTTTCCCCAAACTGGTCACCTTGACCATAAATATTTTTCTTATAATATGTACAAAAACATCTAAAGTTTTCTCCTGGTCTTAGTAGTCACCAGCAGATAGATAATTAAACTCTCTTAGCAAGTCACTCTGCCATCACCAAGCCATTCTCCTCGATTCCATTTGATATTAGCGGCTTCTAAAAACCTCATTTTCATAAAATGTTTTCTGTGTTATGGTTTCTAGAGTTTGCTTTCCCTCTATATTAAAATTTTTTATAAAAAATATATATGCATAATCAAATATGAAATTCTATAAAAGCCATATTGCTATTTGAAGAACATAATGCTTGAAAAATCTAAATTAAATGGTCATTGTTCAAAAAGTATCCACATTGCAACGGCATTTCACTATTGAAAAGTTTTTACTTTTTATAGCACATGATTTCATTTTGTCTGAATAATTTAAAAGATGCTCCCAAATTGTATTCATATATATATATATATATTTTTTTTTTTTTTTTTTTTTTTTTCAAAAAACCTACACCTACATTTACAACACGTTCGATACAAAATGTGTGGATTTTCCAAACCAAAGAATTCTCCAGTTCTCTGAGGACACCAACTTAGTACCCTGTGATTTAATTCAATTTTGACATCAACTGCTCAAGTGAGGGCAGAACACCTGGTTAAGGACTCACACGCACAAAACTGCCTCCCCCTACCCCCAATTTCAGACAGCCATCACAACTGACTTAAGTCCCCAGGTTATCCTTCGTTTTGTCCAACTTGACCATAAATTGAGGGTTCCCACAACTTTCTCAGGTTCACAAAACTGCTATAACAGCTCACAAAACTCAGGAAAATACTTACCTTTACAGCTTATCATAAAGGATAGTATAAGGATAGAAAGAAGCAGCCAAATATTACGCCGTGTAAGCACATGAGCAATGGTGTGGTGATTCGTGCCTTCTCTGGACAGCACTTCCAGGTATTCACAAACCTACAAGCTTTCCACACCACATAACCTTGGATTTTAAATATGTAGATGTGATTAAACAACTGGCCATTAGTGATTGGCTCAGTCTACCCAGAAGTCAAGGGTAGGGCTGGAATTTCAACTCCCTGATCACATCACTGGTGGCTAGAGGAACCAGGTCCCACCCAGAAGCAATCCAGGAACTCAAGAGAGTCACCAATAATCCTATTAATATGCAAAAAGACACTGGATCACTCCCGAAATTCCAAGGATCTTGGAAATTCTTGTATCAGGAACAGGATGAAGTTATATTTCTAATAATATCACAATATGTGACAGTAAATTTTTAGTTGAAGAAGAGATATCTCTTATTAAATGGTTCTTCCCATAAATGTTGATGAACTAATAGAATCAAGCTTGACCTACTTAAAATCAGAAATATATATATTGTTTGATAGCCTCAATGACATAGAATAAGGTATCCATTCCGAGAAATCCCTCATTTGTTGATCTCATCGTTATGGGAACATCATAGAGGGTACTTACACACTAGGTAATATAATCTTTTGGTCCATCATGTATGTGGTCCATTTTTTAATCAAAACAAAGATGTGCAGCACATGACTATATGTGTGCTGTATTATTAAACTCTAAGCTTCTCAAAAAGAATATAACTGTACTTTTTTATCCAGCATTTATTCCTCCATAATGCTGCACAAGACTATAGAATACTTAAGAAGATGAGTGTAACAATGTGATATGTAGTGCTTCTTTCTGAAGCAGTTTCTGTACTTAGGGCAATCCCATGAGTCCAAGTATTGACAAGTAGAATCAAGTTTTGGAAAACCGACATGAAAGCATCAACATATTCCCAAAGTAAAGAGAAAAATAATGATCTCAAAATTGCTTCCCTTCTCTAATACCCAAAGCTGCAACTAGGCAAACCTCCCACTACCCCAAGACACATAAACATATTAAAGTTAAGAAAGAGAGGATAATTTATGGATGACACACAAGAAGTGACTTGTTGGGTTAACTGTATTTTTTTTTTTTGGGGGGGGGGTTTCAGGGCTGAGGATCAAATTTTCCTTTATGAAAATAAAAAGAAAACGTAAGGAGGAAAGCAGTTAACTGCCTTCTAGTATTTTGAAGTTTACTGCCTGCCTGATACATCACTGACAATTTTACACATGTTATATATTATTATACCTATTTTCCAGTGACACAATTGAGGCTTAGTGAATTTAATTAGGCCACTTAAGGCCAAAATCTTTGGTTTTTTCGACTTAGCTAGTTTATTAAGTGCTTATTACAAGGTAGTCATCACAATAAACAGAGATCTGCAAGAGTGCAAGACAAACCAAGCCCTACTCTCACAGAACTTCAGTTCTGGAGCTAAAACAGAAAACAAATAACTACATGGATAATTTCAGAGTTATTATAGTTTGCCAATGAAAATGATACAGCTTTTAAGAGCTATAAATGATATTAAGCAATTCCAAAAACTAAATGGGGAGGGAATTAAACCTACTGACAGTTGGTATATTTGTGACCCTCTTTTTAATTATGGACCAGCCAAACAACTTTATATTTTAATAAATCAAAAGGAGGTTAAGGCAGAGCTTCAATGGTGCTTAGTATCTCTATAATGCACCCATTGAAAAATATATATTTCATTTGGTCTTTTTAAAAAATTCTTTATAACATAAAGTGACAGAGCTATCAAAGTGCATAGATCTAACAATGTGGATTCTCAAAACTAAAATTTCATCCTTATGTATTATTCACTAAGGTATTGCTACATTATTTTGAAAGAGCTGAATTGCTAAAATCCAGGAAGCATTATAACTTGACATAATGTTCCTGTGAGAAACACCAGGAGGTTTCAAGACCCACATCAGCAAGGTTCCGCAGGCTGCACGTGGTATCCCTTGGGCAATAACATCCAGTTGTCATATGATGGTCACCAAGAACTGTGGGACTTAGAGACTTGGAATAGTCAGTAGTTAGGACAAAGTGCTTGGTTCCAATGTGAGGCTTACCATTACCCTCCACACTCCAAAAGAAAAAGAAAAAAAAAAATCACATCTCTTAAATTTGGAATGTATGCAAAATATTAACAATTTTAAGCAATAAAAACTCAGTGTAACTTACTAACTTCCTTCCCTCACCTATTTATACAAGTAGACTAAATTAGCTGTTAGCTATTTCTATAGTTGCCTCCTATGATATTTATAATGTGTTGTGTAATTTGGGTTGTCCCTGTCACTGAGACTTGGTGAGAATATGTGTTTGTAAATTACTTTGGAATTCTTGAGGAAGGCTTTCCTAGAGTGAATGTTCCTCTGAACAAGGTGGAAGACAGTCTAGAGACCATCTGGAGAAGCAGCACTTCATTCACCCAGATGCACCTTCTTGCCAAAGCACTTTGCAAATCTATTTTTGCTGATCAAAGTTACTACGTGGAAAGTGGAGGCTGTTTTAAGTTCATCAGTGTATACCTTCCGTTTCCTCTAAAGACGGTCACACCCCGGTAAGCTGAGTTTCTCAAAGAAGCTTCTGTCCCCTTCGAGAATGGTTCCCACCCTTGCCTCAGAAAGAAGCAACAATCCCTTCTTATCAGATTAGTCACATTCACAAGCTAAAAGTTTGCATATACTTTCACAGAGATACCAAACCCCGCCCTAAAGCCCTGCCACTTTTCTAAGTGTTACAAATGCAATAAACCCTAGTTCCCCTCCAAAACGTAAACAGTTAAACCCCAAATGAGAACGAGTCTTCCGTGGATGGGGAGAAATTCTAAATCCTTCTCCAGTTTCCCGCCACCACCACCTACCGCAACACCAGAGCCCCACAAGAATCGCCGGGATCAGAAAGGGACCACTCCCCCCTAGAACCCCAGGGACCAGGAGGGGGATCGCCCAGGAAACACACACCTGAAATTAATCTTCACGCGCGAAGGGGCAACGGGCAGGAGCACCTAGTTCCTCCAGCCAGGGCGGAGTCAGCCTCCCCCCCAGGATCTGAGGCTCGGCCCTGTGCTCGCAGCGAGGCGCGCGGGGATGTCACTCGGGTCAGGCTGGGCGAGTGTAACCCGACGCGCCCTGCACGGCCGGCCCCCGCCTCCCGGGCGACTTCCTCCTCCCCCTCCAGCGCCGCCTCCCTCCCGTCGGGCTGACCCTGGCGGCCGGGCCGCCGCATCCAGGCGGGTAACTAGGGCCCAGGCTCCTCCGGCCCAGCGGGGAAACACGGAAGTGAGCTGTGAACCAGGGTCGGGGTTGGGGGGGGGGGGGGGGGGGCGAGCGAGTGAGGTCTCTTCTGCCCAATGAATATGACTACACGGGGACACGGGGACACCGGTCCGGTTGGCTAGGACCGCGCCGCAGCGGACGTAATAGCCTTAGCCCCAAGCTGCGGTTCCTGTTTTGCGCCTTGGCCATGCCGAACTCCAGCCTCACCGCCCCGCCTTGCCAGCTGGCTGGCAGACGGGAAAGCCAGGGCTGAGCTAGGCCGGGGAAGCCGGTGGAGGTGTCGGATTTCCTGTCCCCTCCCCACGCGGGCCACCCACGCCATCTGCCCGAGAGAGGGGAGACACTCGTCCGCCCGCAGGCCGGCAGAGGTGGCTTACCTGATTTCTCGTCGCCCGCCCCCAGATCTGGCTTCCCCTACTCGGCACCGCCGGGTAGGCAGGCTTCCCTGGGCCTAGAGACGCGTCTAGGAGGCAAGCGGACCCCTGGGACCCCGCCGTAAGAGCCCAAGTCCCTCACCCCGGCTGCCCCCAGCCGCGCGCACTGGAGGCGCGCCAGGCCCCCTGACCCCCTGCCAGAATGTCAGCGTTGGGACCCGCAGAGAAGACCAAGCCCAGTCACCAGGGGGTGGGATGCTGAGCACAGGCTCCTTGGGCCCAGCCTCGTACAGGTGGGGGGAGGAGGCAAGCCACTGCAGTTGAGTAACAGGCTTCCCACTTGCACCCCGCAAACCCGACCCTGCCCACTGAGCATGCCCACTCCAGCTCACTTATTGGAACTTTGAGGGCTAGACAAGTCCAAGGAAGGCTTAGATGGGGTTCTAATGGACCCTGCTTCTTTGAAGATTTTTCCACAGAAGACCCCTAAAATGTTTTTAAGGTGGCATTGGAAAGTACCCAGGTATAGTCTGAAAGACTCTACAAATTAAGGCAGCCAAATTAGTTTGAACAACAATCTCAGAGTTGTTTTTGTTGTCTTGCTTTTTAAATCAAATATTGTCATTTATTTAAGATGATTAAACAGCAGAATTCCTACAAATTGAACTATAGGAATGTGTAGATTCATTGAGTCCCAAACTCAGCAACTTCAGCGAGTCAACCATTCTCTATACAGTGGAACACTGGTTCTCAGCCTTAGACCTACATTAAAATTGAGGAACCAAAAATGAACAATACCAGATTTCCATCCTTACACCCATTGGATGAGTCTGAAGGCAAGACCTGAACATCCTTATAATTAAAAACAGTGGCTATCAGAAGCATAGCTTTGGGGGCTGGAGATGTGGCTCAAGCAGTAGCGCGCTCGCCTGGCATGCGTGCGGCCCGGGTTCGACCCTCAGCACCACATACAAACAAAGATGTTGTGTCCGCCAAATACTAAAAAATAAATATTAAAAAATTCTCTCTCTCTCTTTCTCAAAAAAATCTTCAAAAAAAAAAAAAGAAGAAGAAGAAGAAGTATAGCTTTGGGACCACTCAGCATCAGCATCACCTAAGAACTTGATAGCAATGCAAATTCTTTTTCACTCTAGACTACCTGATTCATAAACTCTGGGACGGGCTTAGTAATCAGATTTAACCAGATACTCTTGCGCACTAAAGTTTGAAAACCATTGTTTAAAAGCTACCATAGGAGATTATAATGAGCAGCCAAAGTTGAGAACGCTTGTAATATACCAATGCTTTTCACATTTGTTTTTTCAAATCTTTTATCTATTTCAGTAAATTACTCAACAAAGAAATATAATCTGGTGCCAGTCCTGGATTTCCTTCCCACTAATTCTCCCAGAAAAGTTCAGTGCTTGGAAAATGGAGACCATCTCTTATACCACTTTTTACTATGGTGCCTATCATAGTTCCTATAGTAGATGTTTTAAGTGTTTACTGATTGAAATGAATGCTTATGTGAATTATTGGTTCCAGGCCCTCCTGTGTCTGCTTTCCCCCAAGTCCTCATCACCTTGCTAGCTACAAAGCCCACAGGGATCTTTTCATCAATAACCCATGGCCATCTGTCAGACCTCCATCTGACTTGGATATGGGAGAAGGTAGAGTAAAAAGCATTGGACATGATTTTACTTGCCAAAGTAAGGGCCTGAAGAAACAACAGAAAGCAGAAGGAGGGTAAACATCCAGTGGGAATCCAGAAGACTACAGAAGAAAAAAGATTTGTATAGAGAACTGGTAAAGGAGAAGAGTCAAGGTTGTTAATCTGATCAGCCTGCAACTGAGATTGAAATTCTTTTCCAAAATTACACATCTCTGCTGTGCATTTCCCGGCTCTCCATATACACATCTCATCTCAATTATTGCCTTGAATAAAATAAATTAAATAAGAAATTGTTATATAGGAGATTATTTCATTTACTGGATAAAAACATTGCTGGCTAGTAATTATCCTGAGCATAATTTGTTTAGAGCATATAGAAATGTTAATGTTTTAGAAATGAAATACTAGATAATTTTAAATTGTGTAGATTTATAATTCTGCTTTAAGATCCCACAGAAACTTATAAAAATAGTATTCTCTATTTACTCCATCAAAGTTTTCTAATTGGAATAAAACATAAAAACACATTTTCCTTGTAGTCTAATACTTAATGCTTTAAAAGGCTTTTAAAGATACCATTTATGAATACCTGAAGCAGCTTTCAGCCTTCTTGTCTCTGCCCCTATCTCTCACCCTTATTGTGACAAGAATTTCAGTCAAAGAGTTTGGTTGGTGATTGGAATACCTAACAGGAACACAATTTCCCATGTGTCTAAGCAATTTCTTTTCATTATTAAAATAATTTCAAAGGGAAAAGGGGTATAATTATGAATTTAGGAATTGTTCTTCAGAATTATTATTCCATAAACCATATTTAAAACAAAAACACTTCTCCCTAAACACTACTGCTTCTTTTTACTCAAGGAATTAAAGCAAGCCAAATGAAAACAGGTTTAGGGATTACAAAGAGAAAACAGGGGGCAGGGAATGGAAACATTGATCATAACCACATTGAGAAGCATAAATTAATCATTTCAGCAGGAACAATCTTGAAGACCAAGACTTCAGGGAAGTTAAGAGTCTCAAATATTTCTCCTTGCCATCATAAGCATGACTAAGCACTTGGAAAGAAACTATGTTTACTGTTTTTCAGATTGCCAGTATCAGATAACTTTGGTGCCACCTAACTCTTTTCTTATGTACCCAAGAAAACTTCAGGACAGTCATGGGTTTCCACTTTCACATAACTACAAAACCTGAAGTTTTCTCCTTTTCCTTCCTTCCTGTCTTACCAAAGACTTGAGTGCCTTCCATTCACTTATTTCATCTTTCTAGTACTTTCAAGTGAATTTAAATCATTGCTTATACTACAGCATAACAAAATGAGCAAGAAGTTCTTCCTTTCCCAAGCCTGAAGTGTTGACCACCTGCTACTAAGACATCTGAAACCCAGCTGCTACCGGTGAAACTTGCCGAACACAGAGAACCCACTGATGTTACTGAACCAAGCCTGTTGTGTCCACATTGCAGTATGTCAATCTCTGAAATAAGAAGCTTTGCAAAAAAGTTTCTTCATGGAGTGGGGAGACCCAACATTTAAATACACCTACCCAAGTGCTTGGGGAGGTGCATCAGATAAAGAAGCAGGACTGGCTGGGCATAGTGGCAAATGTCTATAATCCTAGAAACCAGGGAGGCTAAGGTAGGAGGATCACAAGTTCAAGGCCCTCCTCAGCAATTCAGCAAGATCCTGTCCCACAATTAAAAATTAAAAAATAAAAAGTGCTAGGGATGTAGCTCAGTGGATATATCTCAGATGTCCCTGATTTCTATTCTAAGAAAAAACACACACACACACACACACACACACACACACACACAGGACGATGAAGAGGCAGGTGGCCTGAAGCATGGGAAAAGGTGATTGGAGATGAAGTAATCAATGGTTTGTGCTTACATAAAATTCTTGAGTCTTCTATGTGTTTAGGGTAGATTAGTTCAAAAATGTGTATTTCCTCGTGTAAAGTTATTCCTTTTAGGTCTACTTATCTCTTGTAATAGATTTCTTTTCATGTTGCTCTCATTACATTATATATTTTTTGTTTGGTTGGTTTTTTTTCTCTCAGAATCTTAGTGCATTGAAGACAGAAACTGCCATGTTTTATGGAACTCTTCAGTTCTTTGCACAGTGCATGATAATTAATAGATGTTCAACAAAGATATGATGAATTTATTTATATATTTAGAATGGCTGTTTTCAGGATATTTCATTTCCCAAAAAACCAGTCATTCTATATTCTCATCTTGATGCCTGCTTAGAATCTGCACTTCTGTACAAACTGTATGTTGAAAACTCTGCTTCATCTTTCTAAAATATTATATAAATTCTGTAAGCCAGGATCTGGGGTTGTGGCTCAGTGGTACAGCACTTGCCTGCCATGTGTGGACCTGGGTTTGATCCTCAGCACCACATAAAACTAAATAAGCAAAATAAAGGCATTGTCCATCTATAACTAAAAATATATTTTTAAAAAATTCTGTAAGCCAAAACAGACAGACAAAAACTAGAAAACTTCATGGATCTTCATGGGATGCATTTCAGAAAATGGGGGCATTAGGGTGGGCTTTTCAGTCTTCTGAGGTCAAAAGTCACCACCCCTCAGACACCTGTGCAGGCATAAGTGAAGTCGGATATTTCAACAAAAGCAGCTTCATGTCCCTGAAAAGTAACCTAGGCAACCATTATCATCATGACCCATAAATCAGAGGGTATAAAGCTAATAGGAAACTAGTAATATACTGTTTAGTCGCATGACCTTCAAAA